GGCCTCCGTACCCCCCATAAAGCCCACAGCCTCCATAGCCCCCAGAGCCCCCAAGGCCTCCGTACACCCCATAGCCCCCAAAGCCTCCAAAACCACCACGGCCTCCAAAAGTGCCGCCGTAACCCCCTCCAACACCGGGGGCTCCCGCTGAGCCAACAACGCTGTACTGAGGGAAGGAGCTGAGGATGGGCCCGGGGAAGGTGACCACCGAGGCCGGGGGCTGGATGACCACCGTGGAGTCGGGGCACTGGCGCACGCAGGGCTCGTTGGCGGTGTCAGCCAGCGGGGCCGGGGCGGCCACCCCACAGGAAGGGATGCACAGGCTGGAGCACGACATCTTTCAGGCAGGCAAGGAGTCCTGCAAGAGACGCCAGGGATTAGGCAAAGGTGTGGGGAAGGGGTCGTATCGAGGAGGACAGGGAGAGATCCCCAGGAGGCTTCCAGGAGCTGGACTTACCCGGTTGATGAGGAGAGTCAAGTAGAGGAAGGTGGATGGAGGGCTGTGAAGCCCTCAGCTCTTTTATACATGTCCCAGAGTGCCCGGGGCATCATCCAAGGGGGTGGTGGCAGAAACCTCAGGTCATCATGAGATCAAGAGGACAACCTTTATTACACCGATTGTGATGTGAGATAATTATATGCCTCTTCATGGGGTACATTGGTGTGCAAACGTGCCCCGGAGAAGAAAGAGGTGCTGGGAGGGACATACCATGACACATCATTACATGAAAAAGAAATTGCTGCTGATGTCACTGACCTGGCGACATCAATAAACCCTGATCTGTGCCTAATCCCCCCACTTTGCTTCTGTGTCAGAGTTCTGAGCATCTTGCAAAAATGCTTTGCAATCCTGCGTACAGACATCACGCCTGTCATTACCTGTCTTTTACGAGCTGCTAAACTGAGGCACTGGGAGGTTTGTGCAAAGGAGAAGCCATCTCACCTGCAGGTAGTGACTCCCAAACACCCGCCATCTCTGGTTGCGTGCAACAGCTGTGCATCTCACAGTCTTGGTGTACAAAGACATCTCTATTAGTTGTCCATCTCCAAGATTCTGGAGGGCGTTGGGATTTTTATGTCCTGGATTCACTTCACACTGTGGAAAGAGTAGAGGGGATGGGTCCCATGCCTGACAAAACACCAAATGTACAGGGGACTAGTAGAGACACGATAGACACAGCAGTGGGATAGAGCACAGGAGACCTATGAGAGTGGGGACATGTATGGAGGAGCAGAAGGACAACAATGGGACCAGGTTAGTGCTAGATACTTCAGCCTCATGTCTGTGAGCATGGTTCTTGTGAGACCTCCCTGGCGGGACTTGATTTCTACGCTGGGCATTGAGGGCTGTGCCAGGAGATGCTGGCCGAGCACCCAGAGGCACCAGGCTGCACGTGGCCATGCTCCCCACAGGCACAGGCACGCTGGGCATTGCGGGCTCTGGGCACGTGGTTGGGCTTCTGCTGAGTGTGGCGTGCTTGAGCACAGCAATCTTCTGCAAGATGCCCAGGATTCTTCCATGTAAGCAAAGTGGGGGATTAGGGACAGATCGGGGTTTATTGGTGCCATGAAGTCAGCTACAGCAGTTCCTTGTCTTTCATGTAATGGTGTGTCACAGTCTGTCCCTCCCACCACCTCTTTCTTCTCCAGGGCACAGTAACAGGGCAATGTCCACAATGAAGAGGGATTTAATTGTCTCTCATCATTACCTCTGCCATAAGGCTTGTCCTCTTGATCTCATGATTAGCTGGGGTTTCCACCACTACCCTCTGGCCAACGCCCCGAGCAGTCCGAGACAGGTATAAAAGAGCTGAGAGCTTCCCAGCCCTCTATCCACCTTCCTCCGCTTGACTCTCCTCATCACCGCGGTAAGTCCAAGGCTTAGCTCCATCTTTCCTTCCTCTGCAGTGGCTTTCTCAAGGCTTCCTTTGCTCAGGCCTGCACCACACTTTCATAGTTAGGATGTGATGGTGCTGTTCCAGAGCTATGCAAGGGATGGAAATTTAGACTTGTACGTACAATACTCGGAGTCTACCAATGCACTCAAGTCCTTTGGGAGCTCTGTCATTTTCCATCTGCTTTGGAGGAGGGAGTTTTTCCTCCCTCCTGTGGGCAAGTCGTGACCAGGGAGTATGAGGGGAGCAAGTGGTTTAGAGCAGCATTTCACCTCTGGATCAGGTTTTTGCTCTGAGTGCCTGAGATGATGCATAGCTTGTGCTCTGACAGAGATGCGAAGTGTGAGAGAGGCAGGAGGGATTTGGGATGAGGTCTTGCACTAAGCCGTAGCTCTACCTTGTCTTGCAGCTTCACCTCCTGAACCAAAAGATGTCGTGCTCCAGCCTGTGCATCCCTTCCTGTGGGGTGGCCGCCCCGGCCCCGCTGGCTGACACCGCCAACGAGCCCTGCGTGCGCCAGTGCCCCGACTCCACGGTGGTCATCCAGCCCCCGGCCTCGGTGGTCACCTTCCCCGGGCCCATCCTCAGCTCCTTCCCTCAGTACAGCGTTGTTGGCTCAGCGGGAGCCCCCGGTGTTGGAGGGGGTTACGGCGGCACTTTTGGAGGCCGTGGTGGTTTTGGAGGCTTTGGGGGCTATGGGGTGTACGGAGGCCTTGGGGGCTCTGGGGGCTATGGAGGCTATGGGCTTTATGGGGGCTACGGAGGCCTTGGGAGCTGCGGATATGGCGGCTGGCGCCGTGGCCACAGGTACCTCAGTGGCAACTGCGGACCCTGCTAAACCCCACACTGCGTCAGGCAACAGATGAAGGAGAGCTCTGGAAAGATCCCTGGCACATCGCGACATGGCACCTGAAGATAAGACATCTTGTTGGCATTGTTGGGCTCTGGAGCTTGGACAGCTTGTACCTGCTTGGTCCCTAACTATGTCTTCCTCCTGCCCTACTTGAGCTTCTCTCTAGGACTCGCAGCCCCCTGAAGATGTAGCCCCCTGCTGGGTGCCTACTCCTGCAGCACGGCTGATGCTTGCTGTAGCTCTACACACTACCAGGAGACGTGGACTGCCCTTGGCCAGGGCCCTGCTCTTCTCCCAATTCCCTCCTCCCTTGCAACTACAATAAAAGCTGTCTTGCATCGCAATGTTGACCCTTAGTTTTATTTGGTCCTTCCTCCATACTCAATACCTCAAGTGGCATCGAGTTCCCATGAGCATCGCAGCCAGCTCCCACACAGGGCCTTAACAGGGGCATCTGGAGGTGCTCCCTGGCTTCTTCTTGCCTGCCCTTGGGTATAACATCCCTCTGCTGGAGGGTCATTCAGAGCACGGACAGGGCTCATCTTCCACAACATTTTCTCCCTCTTTGCCCTCCCTGTCGTTTCCACCTTAACCCCCGAATGCTGCAGCCCAAGAAGAGCTGTTGGGCCCAGCAGTGAGTTTGTAGCCCAGTTTTGCCATTCCCCATAGGCTGCCTGCAGCCCCAGGGCTACAGGGACTGGGACGCCAATGAGGCACATCAAGTGGGAAGGCCCAGGTCAGAGCCACTTGGGTGGCCACAGGTCGACAGAGGGCAAGCAAGCCCTAGCACCTCCCCAAATACCCTGATTCCATCCTGTCCACATTCCTGCACACCTCTTCACCTGGGGAAGGGGCTGTATCGAGGGGGACAGGGAGAGATTCACAGTAGGCTTCCGGGAGCTGGACTTACCTGGTTGATGAGGAGAGTCAAGCAAAGGAAGGTGTTTGGAGGGCTGTGAAGCCCTCATCTCTTTTATACGTGTCCCAGACTGCCTGGGGCATCAGCCCTGGGGGTGGTGGAAGAAACCCCAGCTAATCATGAGCATGACTTCTTTTGGTTCAGGAGGTGAAGCTGCAAGACAAGGCAGAGCTTGCGTTAAGGGTACCTGCTGGCATGAACAGGGTTTCACAGTGCTCCCAGCCCAGGAGGACCTTGGGCCACATCGTCCCACTGCTTCCCTGCGCCATCTACATCATGCCTCCAGTTCACTGCCACACACCAGCCCTGCACTCCTGCACCCTCCTATCACCTCTTGCACCTGCCCAGGGCAACGTCAGCCATCCTGCAGTGCTTTGGCATGGGACCACCCCGTGCCCACCGATGAGATCCTCAGTGTTGCATTGTTGTCCTGGCCACACTGCACGCAAGGAATGCCCTTCTTCAGCCCAGCAACGGCAAGGACCTTTCTCATCCCCAACTCAGTAGCACCAACAGCACCCAGGTTGGCTCCTGCTGGGGCTATGATCTCTGTGGGCCGGTGCCAAGAGCAGGCTTGGTAGCTTACCAAGTCTGGGAGTCGAGGAGGTTGGCACGTGAAGTGAGGGAAGCCCGGGGCCATGACAGCTTTTATGCCTCCCGGCAGCCCTGCTGCAGGAGCCTTTGCAGCAAAAGCTGCCATGAGGCTGCAGAGCAATGTCTGGCATCCTCTGCACTGCCAGCACATGCCTCGCCTCGAAGCCTGGGATTACCAGCGCCAGCTCATTCTGGGGGCCATGAAGCAGCCCCCACCCTCAGTGATGTACTGTGGGGCAGATCATAGCGTGGCCCTCCCTCAAGTTATCTCTGGAGGGTCTTGATTACTCAGCGGGGCAGCAAGGGTTGTGCCAAGGCCACCTGCCGGAGCAGCCGCAGCGAAGCAGGCTGCACATCCCCACGTTCTCTGTGGGCACAGGCCCGTCAAGCAGCCTCTTGTTTCTATTTTCATCAAGGGGACCTGCAAGCCAAAAATAACCAGCAATGGTCTGGAGATGGCCGAGACTCGGGGTTGTCCTGAAAAGCCCGTGTGAGCCCCCCAACCATTGCCAGCATGGGGAGATGGTGGGCACCTAGGAGCCGCCCCAAGCAGGGGGGATGGCTTCTCCCTTTGCCCAACCTCCCAGTGCCTCAGTTTACCAGCTCATAAAAGGGAACGTAATGACAGGCGTGATGGCTGTACGCAGCATTGCAAGGCATTTTTGCAAGATGCCCAGGACTCTGACACAGAAGCAAAGTGGGGGGATTAGGCACAGATCGGGGTTTATTGGTGCCGCCAGGTCAGCTACATCAGCGGCATTTTGTCTTTCATGTAATGATGTGTCACAGTTTGTCCCTCCCAGCACCTCTTTCTTCTCCGGGGCACGTTTGCACACCAATGTACCCCATGAAGAGGCATATAATTGTCTCGCATCACATGAAATCAGTGTCATGAAGCCTGTACAGTGGATTTCATCATTACCTGAGGTTTCTGCCACCACCCCCTTGGACAATGTCCCAGGCACTGTGGGACATGTATAAAAGAGCTGAGGCCTTCACAGCCCTCCATCCATCTTCCTCTGCTTGACTCTCCTCATCAACCGGGTAAGTCCAGCTCCTGGAAGCCTCCTGGGGATTCCTCCCCGTCCTCCTCGATACAGCCCCTTCCCCACACCTTTGCCTAATCCCTGGCGTCTCTTGCAGGACTCCTTGCCTGCCTGAAAGATGTCGTGCTCCAGCCTGTGCATCCCTTCCTGTGGGGTGGCCGCCCCGGCCCCGCTGGCTGACACCGCCAACGAGCCCTGCGTGCGCCAGTGCCCCGACTCCACGGTGGTCATCCAGCCCCCGGCCTCGGTGGTCACCTTCCCCGGGCCCATCCTCAGCTCCTTCCCTCAGTACAGCGTTGTTGGCTCAGCGGGAGCCCCCGGTGTTGGAGGGGGTTACGGCGGCACTTTTGGAGGCCGTGGTGGTTTTGGAGGCTTTGGGGGCTATGGGGTGTACGGAGGCCTTGGGGGCTCTGGGGGCTATGGAGGCTGTGGGCTTTATGGGGGCTGCCCTCCGTCTCCACAGGCGGCACCTCTTCTCTCCTCCCACCACACGCAGAACGAAGCTCCCAGCCCCTGCTCAGCCTGTGCCAAAGCAGCGACTCCAACTTGAAGGTCCTTGCTTATTTGCACAGAGCAACCTTGCAGATCTCCAGCTGGCGGCTTTAGAGTTCCCAGCACTGCCTCCCAGAGCTCCCCTCTATCAGCCCCACAGCCACGCTGTGCCGGTCCTCAGATGAGTCTGCCCGGCTCTGCCCGGCTCTGAGCCCCCCAACCTGCAGTAGGAGGGGGGAACCTCTGGGCTGGCGCCCTGGGCTGTGCCTCGCTGCAGCCTTAAGATTTTCCTGATTCCAATTCATTGTTTCTGTGTTGTTTCTGCTGTCACTGGCTTTTGCATTTTCCATCCACATTAAAGAACCCGCATTGCATGAATAACCTGGCTCTTGTTTGGTGTGTATGAGTTTGCTCTTCTCATTTTCCATCTTGGCCAGGGATACATTGATAATGAAGCTCAAGCCCCATGCTTAAATATCAGATGGGTTAGTGAACAGGGCTTGTGAGAGGTTCAAAAGTTTGTGATGGATACCCTTGTGTTGTCTCACACAACAGGCACAGACAAGATATTAGCCCCAGTGGATGGGACAGCTTTTGAAGGAAAAAAATATCAGTGAATTTATTTGGTACTTTGTGGTCCTTTTCTCAAGCAGAAATATACATCTTCATATTCTTCCACGCTAGATAGCCTGAGAAGTTCAAAGCACTTCTCAGATGCTTGTGACTATTTTATACATTTATAGTGTGTTATTACTCTACTAAAAGCTTACCGCTCTTGTTAGGTGCTTCATTATTGAATAATAGTCACTTCAGAAGTACGTGTTGAGACATTGCAATATATGCTTTAGTCAGAATGTGATTTTATAGCCTTCTTTTTTTCCATTCAAATGCGGCTCTGTACAAACAACCATGATAGACCCTACAATTACTTATTTTGCTGTCTCATCCCAGAAATTTGTATTTCTTTCCAGTCTTATCTTAAGACTACCTGGAGTTGAAGAACCATATATGTGTGTGGCATTCCATGAATTTCTAACTTGCTTTTAACCAGGTCCCCTGTTAAAACAGCTAAATCCATAAACAGTCTGTAGAACTACAGAGATTTTGGCAATAATTTCAAGCTAACATTGTCTCTTACTTGTGCACTGAGACACTTACGACTTTCCAGTTTTTACCTAGTAACTTACTCATAACTTCCAGATTTTATTTGATTTCACTAATGAACAATTGAAATTATGACCAGAGCCAGCTGAATTTATAGACCTTGATGTCAAGATGCAGGTTGAACAGCAATTTGCACTGTTCTTCTGCAGAGAACACATCAGGCACCAAAGCCGGCGAGTGCTTTCCTAGGAACAAAGCTCCTCAGAAGCCGTGAGAAAACTCCATCCCCAAAGTTGCTGGAAGTGTAACCCACGGCTTTCCTTGCAAAGGTTTTCGGTGAGTTTTGTGCTTGTATTTTGTATTGTAGCCCAAATGAGCTCCGTTCCTCTTGTGAGACTGCAATCAAAGTGCCTCTGTGTGTGTTCTTCAAAGGACAGCAATTACACTCACAACAAGGGTTCTACGGTTTAACAGGGCTTTCAAAGCACTTCACCGGCTGGGTTATGCCTGGACTCTGTTACAGCATCGTACTATTAAGAGGTTACGGCTGCTGCCAGTTAGGTACTTCAGTCATGAATAATAGAGTCATTTCAGACTTGCATCAAGGGATCTCGCCCTAATAACAACTGTGTGATTGTGCAGCCTGGGAAATTCTCCCCATTTCATTGTCATTCAAATACAGCCTTGCAGTAACACTCGCAAACTCGTCCTTACCAGCACTTAATAAGGCGAACGGAAAGTCTGCAATTTTCTGCTCTGTAACAGATCAGGTCTCTAAATCCAGCAAGCATCCCAGACACTGCCAGCACAAAAGCACTGGAGAAAAAGGGATTTTCTACCAACTTCTTGGCTTATTCCCCAGCTAATTTGGGTTTGCCTGCAGGCAGTCTGTGCAGATGCGAATCGCTAAGATGTGGTGCTGTTAAGTCCAATGTCTGCACACGCACTGTGATGCTAAGGCAAATTTAAAAGAATATTTCCAAAACCTTCCTAGGAAATTCCAGAATGGGTGACTTCATTTTCTGAGATACTGCTGGGTTATTAGTTTGCAAAAGGTGTGCTCAGGTTCAGCTGACATTCATAAAAGCTGCAGAGCACAGTATGCCTCCGTAAAACACATCAAGCGGGGGCCAAAAACCTATGTACATCCAAGTCAGAAAAAGAAAAACAGGGAGGGACTTGTAGTGATGCTATAACATTTTTAATAAGAATAAAGCTCACAATCACAATCTAAGATAATACAGAAAACAGAAGCAGAAAGAAGGCGTACAGAGACTAATTTACATCTGCAGAAAATCTCCTGGTTCCGCCAAAACTGGCGTCAGATTTGCTGCTACAGTTGTAGCATTTGACTAGCAATTTCCATTTACAAACTTTTCTATTTGCTTTAAGTCCAATGAAACAAATCAGATCAGATGATTTACGGTTTCTTCAGTATAGCTTCCAAAGCAGTTAAGTTGGGAATATATCCATAGGAAGGCTAGTACAGGTACACTCTAGATTTCGTTAATGTTAGCCAGGAAAGAGCTATAAATGAGTTATGAAGTGGTCTACCCACGTTAAGCCCAGTTTCCTGTACATCACCAAA